CCCCACCTCCCCGTTCTACCCTCTCCCCACACCCTCTCTCTGTACTCTTGCATCCAGTTTCATTAATTTTTATTTCTTTTCCTTTGCTTCAGTCATGCTCATAATCAAAGAAAGTTTTCTTGGCTTACTTTTCTTTTTTTTTTATTTGTCTATTCTCTTTTTGATTGCGGTTTTGAGTATATTGTCAATCTTGAAATTTTCATTATTTGTGTGTGTATTATCTATAGCTTTGTTTCAACTGTATTTTCAAATGTGTATATTTAGTATGTTGTTGACTGTGCAATTTGTTTCAGTATGTCATCAGTTACTTTGTTTCAAGTTTTCCATATCATTTTCTTTATGGTATTTTGTATTGTGCATTTAACTGCACAGCTTTTGCCCTGGTGCAGGGTTTTCCCACGGTTTAAAATGCAACTGGAAAGAGGGGTTTCTGTCCCTGCTTCTTCAAACCCTCATCTTTTTTTTCTTTTTTTTTTTCTCTGTCCTCTCCTTCTACTTTTCTACTTGAGATTGCTCAGCTCCAAAGCCCTGCCTTTGGTACCGGTTTCTCCGCTTTTTTCCTTCCTGTTCTATCTCACCCCACCCTTCCCCTTCACCCACCCGAACCCTTTCCCTAGATCATATTTGCCCTGGCCACACATGGTATTGTTACCAGAAGGACATCAGTTACGTGCTCAGAGCTTAGCCTCTGACTCACTCGCGGAAGGCATTTTCCATTGGATTTCTTTTTTTTCTGGTTTTGGTTAAAGACTTGGAGAGTAAAATTAGAGCCAAATATCATTCATCCAGGTTGTGAAGATCAGCCACTGGTGTCTGGGGTAATGATAAGGCTCTTGTTGTGGTGCGAAAAAGATGTTTGTTGGAATCACGTGTGGGGAAATATTTGGTGGAGCATCTTGTTCTTTTAGCTGGGGTGTTGTATCCCACTCAGCCCCGTTTGGCCCTGACAAGCAGAATAGAAGTAGCCCATCTCCAAAATTATCTGAATTGCGGAAATGGGAGCGTGACATATTTGAGCAAATGTGGGTCATAAAACCTTGCCGAGACCAGAGATGGAAAAGCCCCGCGTACTGTGTCCAGAGATTTGCCAAATTGACTGGTAGCGCTAAAGTGCGTTTGTGGTTGGCAGGTGCTCTGGTGTGGTTTGCTCCTTTGTTCCTGTCAAACATCTATCGTCCTTATTTTTCTATTTTTCTTTGTATGTTACTCCCTAGTAGTAACATCTCTAATCTTATTGGCACTTATCAGATCTATTTGTGTTGCAGGAGCCGTAAAACTTAAACTGAACTAAAGCTAAAGTGTCAATAGTCAAAGCCAAGTCTGACTTCAGCTCTTGTTCCACGTGGAAACTGTTTCCTCGCTACAATATTAACAGCTTTCTCCTTGGGGATTGATTTTCTTTCTTTCTTTTTTTTTTTTTCTTTCTTTTTTAAAATTAAAAAAATATATTTTTAGATAGACACAGCTGATGATGTCGGTTGCCAGATTGATGATAAGATAGTTGATCTGTAGGCCTGCACATTAGCAGAAACATGCTTGCTTACCCTCCAGTGTGCCCCTCTAGGTGTTTTTGATGCATTTGCGTGCTCTATAGAATTTTGGGGGGTTATTGTTGTAGTAATAGATATCCTGCTTCTAACTGAATGCTACTACGCTCCTATTTCATCTCATTCTTGTCAGTTCTTTATGTCTACCTCTTTGTTTCACTCTTTTTCTCTTTATCTCTCTCTGTCATCTCATTCTTGTCAGTTCTTTATGTCTACCTCTTTGTTTCACTCTTTTTCTCTTTATCTCTCTCTGTCACCCTCGCTCGTGCTCTCTCACTCCCCTTTTTTGTCCAAAGACTCACTCACAGTCACCTCTGAAGTTCAGTCCTTTTTGTTCTGTTTTGTTCTGTTTCGTTTTTTTCTGATTCACTTTTTGCCCTGGCCTGGAACACTCTTACATTCCTGTCCTTGCCAACCTTTGTCTCTTCAGTGGGTGGTTGGCGGGTGCTCTGTTGTGGTTTACTCCTTCTTTCCTATCAAACATCTATCGTCCTGATCTCTCCTCCTTCTTTTTTTTGTGTGTGTTTGTTTCTCTCTTGTAAGACCTCTAATCTTCGGCACTTATATGACCTTATTGTGTTGCGAGTGCCGTAAAACTCTTACTAAAAAGAAAACCATGTCTCTTCATCACCCTTTTATTAACCCGTTTGTTTCTGTCACATCATCATCTTGTCCTCTGTAGTTTCTGTCTGTCTGTCTAAATGGACAGTTATTATGTTGGTGGGCTTCTCTTTACTCGAACGAAACTTATTTTCTTTTTGTCACTCTCTTTCTCTCTTTCATTGATCTCCCTCTCCCCCCACCCCTCTCTCTCTCTTTCTCTCTCTCTCCTCTCTCTCTCTCTCCCTCCCTCCCTCTCTCCCGCTCTCTCTCTCCCTCTCTCACTCTATCTATCTATTATCCCTTCGTTTCTGTCACATCATCATCTTGTCCTCTGTAGTTTCTGTCTGTCTGTCTAAATGGACAGTTATTACGTTGGTGGGCTTTTCTTTACTCGAACGAAACTTATTTTCTTTTTGTCACTCTCTTTCTCTCTTTCATTGATCTCCCTCTCCCCCCACCTCTCTCTCTCTCTCTCTCTCTCTCTCTCTGTCTCTCTCTCTCTCTCTTTCTCTCTCTTTCTCTCTCTCTCCCTCTCTCCCGCTCTCTCTCTCGCTCTATCTGCCTCTCTTTATTTATTTCTCTCTCACTTTCACCCTTTTTTATTTTTATTTTTTTGTTTCTTTTATTTCTGTCTTTCAATTGAGAGTGACGATTGAAGGGCACCTCTGTTTACTCCTTCTTTCTCACGGTCCTTCTGCTGTTTCTATCTTTTATCATGCTCTTAATGTACATTATTCTGCCTGTGCGTTTCTCTTTCCTCAAAAACTACCTCATTTTTCTTTTTCTTTTTCTATTTTCACTGGTTTTCTAATCTCTATTTTTCTCCCTTTTTTGTCAGAATGGTGCTACATTTATGCATTAATGTTTTTGTATCAATTTGTCCTTTCCTTTTCAACTTTTGCCAAATTTTATTATGTGTCAAATGCACCCTTGGTGGCAGGGTTTGTTTGTTTCTTTGTTTCTTTGTTTGTTTGTCCACCTTTGTGGACCTCGTCGTCGTAGAAACCCTGTGTGATAAGGTGTAGTCTGGGTTGTTTTTTTTCTTTACCTGTGGTGACTACGTACTTTTTTGGGTGACGGTTGTTTCATTTTTTTTCCTTGGCCGAATTTTTTGGGTCATTTTATACAACTAATGATTGGAGGGTGTCAGTGGTAGGTCTTTTTTTTAACTTCTTTTCTGTCTCCTCTGTTGTTTGTGTCTGTCCATCTTGCTTTACGGGTGGTTGACAGGTGCTCTGATGTGGTTTGCTCCTTCTTTCCTATCAAATATCTATTTTCCTGATCTCCCCTCCTTCTTTTTTTTTTTTTTTTTTTTTTTTTGCATTTGTTACTGTTTTGTGACCTCTCTAATTTTCGGCACTTATATTATAACCATATAATGTTGCAAGTGCCATAAAATCCTTACTAAAAGTAAAGCATCTTGCTTTTCCAAGGCACTTCTGCCTAACAAGGTTAATCTGAAAATAGTTGTAAACTGAAAGAAAAGAAAATCCCTGGATTTTTTTTGCTTCTTTGTCTTTATTAGAAAAATATCGATCAGCTAAAGTGCACAATCAGAACTAGGGAGGAAGACGCTCATAAACTTGTAAACTTATAGGTGTGCAAGTGGGATATTTTGCCCGAAATTCAGGACTGCTGCTCTTAATAAAAGAGGACCTGTTTCCGTGTGGTGAGCCGGGGAACCCCACACTCAAAGACAACTATGTACACTGATCTTGTTTGGATTTGGAATTTTTTTCCAGATGACTGACGTATGGGATATTTTCGTTTCATGCAAAAAGACAATTATGTATGCTGGAGTTGTATGGAATTTTTTCACACTCTTAACTCCACAAATCTTTGATTGCGTGTGGTTGGCGGGTACTCTGTTGTGGTTTGTTCCTTCTTTCCTATCAAGCATCTGTCGTCTTTATCTCCCATCCTTCTTTTTTGTGTTTGTTACTCTCTTGTAACACCTCTAATCTTCGGCTCTTTTATGACCTAATTGTGTTGCAAGTTTGTTATGCATCTCTTTTGCAAATGTAGTATGGCTGAGTCTAACACTCAGCAGTTGATATACAGAGTGATTAAAAACGAACGTTTTTTTTAGAAAAAACTTTTAGTAAGGTTTTATGGCGCTGGCAACTGCATAAGGCCATATGAACGCCAAGGGGTAGATGTCAACAAAGAAGTCAAAACGGGGAATCAGGCTTACTCTGCTCACCTCTCTAGCCTCAACAGCACAAAGTCTGCTTCTACTGTCAAGGCACGCCGGAAATAGCAGTTCATAAGAGAGTGACAAACATACGAAAGAAGTAGAGGGAAAATGACAATAGTAAGGATGAGGAAAGAAAAAGCAGCAGTTCCCCCTATGTTATTCTGGCACAGTATGAGCATGACATTGATAAATCAGCCTACTTACAATTCTACTGTGCACAAAGTAAAGTTGCTCCCGCATCCGATCCAGACATTGGGGATTGCCTTGTTAGTAAGACTGTGCATAAGAACATAATATGTTATAATATTAATATCCCCCATTTGGGAATGGCCTAAAGACACTTCAGTCAGTAACTCTGCCCGGGGGGGGGGGGGGGGGGGGGGGGATTTAAAAAAAGATAGAACCAATTTCATTACACGATATCTTAATAAGGAAACGCAATTGTAAACTCAAGCTAAATCACAAGTATTGAACTTACTATCAAAATTTTATTTCCTGTCTTACAAATGTTGAATGTGGCCACCACCAGCAGCATGTGCAACATCAATGCAGTGAGAAAATTCATCCTAGGCACATTTCAGAGTATTATCACGGTCCACTGAGTTGATTGCTGTTGTTATTCGACGTTTAAGGTCATCGAGGTTTGTGGGTGGTGGTGAAGCACAATCCATGGCTGGGGCACTTTTTCATTTTAAAAAGCTCAAACCGTCAGATAACAATGGGGTGGTACTCAATCTTATTGAATAATGAAGCCATGCGAATCTGCTTGTGAAGAGTCAGTTTTGGAGCATGTCGAGATAGGTTTGCTCTGTAATTGGTATTACCTTCAAGGGAAGAACAACGCGACAACAGCTGCGCCCCCTGTAATGGCTTTTCAAAAGTTACATCATTCCTCTTTCAAATGGTCACTGACTCATTCCATAGCGATGCTTGAGAACTGAAGCAATGCATCATTAAATCGGTTCATTCTTTTTTAGTCACCCTGTATACATATGAATACCTTTATGCATGCTGACATGGTGCATGCTGTGCATGATGCTCTGGTGGCAACAAGGCTTATGAGCTCAGGCTTGTGAATGGCAGTAAGCAATGTTAGTAAGGTGGATTTTAAGTGGGTGGTCACTTTGGTGTGTCCTTGAGCAAGATACAATTCGATTATCTTAGCTCAAAACTAGGGTGCTGAACCGTGGTGACTAACAACAACTTATTTATTCGTTTATCTGTATTGCTGTGGTATTATGAATTGTGTGACTTGTTTCATATATGCCTTTTACTTTCCACAATAACTCAAATTTCCCTATGGATATCAATAAAAGTGGTATTTTGTCATATTGCTTTTTTTTTAAATTTCATAATATTTGGAATGTTTTCTCTGAGAGTCCTCCTCAACTGTGTTCTTCTCTGTCCCCCACAGATCATCGGCGTTTGGCTGGCCATGCGGTATCGCAACCAGAAAGATCCCAGAGCCAACCCCAGCGCTTTCTTGTAACCCCCGGCGACCAGTGTTTGTGTGTTGACCCCCGTCTGGAGTGTTCTCTCTCATCTTCCCACCCCTCGCTGACCTCTAAACTTTGCGTGATGGGACCTGCGAGGAGTTTCTATATGGCAGTCATTCCATATGTATATGTGTGTGTGCGTGCTTGTGTAAATGTGATTGAGTTTTTTTTTTTGTGTGTTAAGATGAATATAAATGTCACATTTTGTTTTCATTCCTTCTCATTTCTGACCTGTGAATAAGATACAGCTAGTTAAGATTGAGTCTCAGCATGAGTGTGTGTCTGTGTGTGTTGGGGGGGGAGATCTGTACTGTATTGAGGAGTTTTCAATTCAAGAATAGAAATGCACTGCATTCAATCATTTGTGAAAATTTACTGGCCAGTAATGAACTTAAGGATATAGCAAGGCTTGCAGGTGGCTGTAGCACAAGTGTGAAGGCTTTCTATTTCTCAAACTAGGCTGTTGTGCTACAGTCATTGACTCTTTAACATTTATAGTGAAGAGATTAGATGTAGTGGAAGTAGTGTCTTCCTTGTCATTTTGTCACTGACAGTGCTCTTAGTCTTGGGGGGTGTCTCCAACGTCATTTGACTCTGATCTCACGAGTACTCATAACTCAGAGGTGACAGTGACCTTGCATAATCAAATCAATATTTTGATTTCCTTATTCCGTAATCACACATTGAAAACAAAATGGAAATACTCGTACTGTGAATGCAAGCGTGTATTTGTCAGTTGTTCATTATGTGTAATTGTCTGATGATGCCTGTTGTGTGCTCCCATGGCATTTTTCATTTGCTGCGTGTTATATTGCCAAACGCATTTTCTCATGACTCTTTGGTTCATACATTTATGTGTGCATTCTTCTGTATATGCATACGCTTTTGTGTATGAATGTGAGCAACTTTTCTCTACATGAGAGAGAGAATGTTAGAAAAATAATTTACTAGCATCTGGATGTGTATTTGTGTGTTGTCATGAACTGTAGAAAGATACGGAGAAGTGGTTGCCTCTACAAAAGCTTATCGTAACTTTGTTGTAGAGTAGTAGAGAGTGGCATGACAGAGGGTGTGATGAGAGAGTTTGTCTTGTGTTTTGTTTTTGATATCTGTTTCATTCATCTGCCTCTGTGGACCAACACGATATGCATCAGGATGCGTGGAGAAGCCCTTGACACTTACGATGTTTTGCTTTATCTTTTTATGGAACGTTTAATTTTTATCTTGCAGTATTTTTTGTTTCTGTTATTTAGGTATTTAATGAAAGGGCCATTGGGTTTGTTTTTTTGCATTTTTGATTTGGTGATATTGATATTGTATGTGTTGGGAGTGTGGTGAGTCGGTGCACATTAATTTATTCTAGCTGTGAGAGGATGGCAGTGAGAATACGCTGTGGTTTTGCCTTGTGTGTGAAGATATTTGTTGTTTTTGCACTGTGTGGGGAAAATGGTAATTCATTTTTACAAAGTGTATCGAGATGGCATTTTCTCAATATCATTGTCTTGTTCTTTGATTTATTTGATTTTTTTTTTTTTGTTCTTTAAAATCTTTTGAATAAACAGTATAGTGTAAGATGTGGAGCGTGGTAGCTTGACCTGAAGATTTCTGGTTTCCTGTGATTTTTCTCTAAAAGGACAAGAAGGAACCATCTTTCTGCTCTTACTCGTATATATGCATGCTCTTTGACACTCGCTTGTAACAAGTTTATCTCTCCCAGTCAGTCTGTCCTTAAGTGTTGCATGCTTTCTGCATATATTTAACAGCAGTGTGCACAGTTTTTGCAGTTGTTTTGGGGGTTTTTTGTTGACAGTTCAGAGACCAAGGTATTTGGGGATGCAGTTGCTGACCCAATTGTGTAGCCAGTGTGTGAATTTTCTTTTGTTCTTTTGTCAGCGTCTTGATTGGTCTGAATACATGTTGTGGTTTTGTTTTGCCACATTACTTTTTCAAAAAGTTTTTTTTCATTTGCTGTACTATTTTCCGTGAATCTCATCCACATCTTATATTTATCTGTCTGCTACTGAACACGTTTTGTCGTTGGTTTAATGATATGAAAATCTTTGGAAGGTTCTGAGTTGGGAGCTGGTAAATTTTTTTGTTGTTCAGCATTGTGGTAAATTGGTTTCAAGCGATTTCGGTCATGTTTGAAGACTCTGGAACTTGTAACATTGTGGTAGAGACGAGGATGGAGTCAGGAGCTTTCGAGGATGACACTCGCAAAATAAAAGAATATGAAATATTATTCAAGTCTGAGGTGTTTTTGAGTTGTCAGTGCTCTAAGATCAAGTTTGGTCAGAGAGGGGATTTTTTATTTTATCAAATTTATCTAATTTTTCTATCTCTGTTTTTTTGTGCTACAATTCAAGCTTATGAGTTTATAAGTCCTCAAAGAAATACCCCCCCCACCCCCACCCCCACCCCCCCCCCCAGGTTCTTTTTCTCGACAGCCTTTCACAGAAAGAACACAAGTAGTTTATGTGTGTATGTGGGGGGGGGGTTTGGGTTTTTTTTGTTATTGGTCTTCACAGACTTCAAGTGGCTACATCTTTGGAAAAGAAAGTTGAAATTGTCAAAGAGAGCCGCTCAATGCTGAGGAGAAAATTGGTTGTCTTTGTCTTAGACAGCTTCTGGACGTCTTATTTTATGTCATTATATAAGGTTGAAAAAAAAACACTAGGGGGGGGGGGGGAATAAGAAACGGCCATCTGTACAGTTGATTGTCTTATACAGGTGGCCGTTAGAGTAGGTTTGACTGTCATTGTGGAAATATTAACAACCTGCAGGTGATGGCCTCATTCATTATGCCCAGTTTGTTGTCTGTGTATGGGTACTGGGTTCTGTTTGGTGTAGTCTGTCCTGTCTGCACACTGCACAGAAGTAGCTCTTAGCTTGTCACCCACACAAGAGGAATGGATGGCTTAGCCCATTTTGTGTAGAGACACACACGATACACAGGTACCTCCTGTTTCTCTCCCTCATTTTATCTGTCTGTCTGTCTGTCTCTCTATCTCTCTCTCTCTTTCTCTCTCTCTCTCTCTCTCTCTCTCAATCACTCTCTCCACTCACTCTCTCTCTCTCTCTAGCTCTTTCTGTCCGTCTCTCTCTACTGTTGTCTCTCTCTGTATCCAATCTTTGTCTGTTTGTCTCTAGCTATTTGTCTCTCAATATCCTTCCCCCCCCCCCCACCCAATTCACCCAATTATTAGGCCCACTTTGGTCTCTGCAACACTCACTTTTTGCTTGTTAAGAACATGAGTACAAATCCCATTCTTCCAGGATAATGATATTCAACCACCATGATGATGTACGTGAAGTTATGCCCCTGTCTCTGTATGCACTCACGACTGCCAACTTCTGATGTTTGAAACGTTTGTGTCAGAATAGCCCACTTTTTCAACAGTTTGTTGGTTATAGATATGGTTTGTTTGATTATTACATTACATACTTTCCTTTCTTCAAGAAAAACTTAGAAATCTTCAAAACCCAACTCGCTGCTCTGGTGTCTTATTTTACCGACAGAATTGAAAGATATTTTGACATAAGAACTTGAAATAGCCTACATCTTGGATCTAAAGTAGATAATTATTTAAAACAGAAGCTATTAAGAGCTGAAACAGCTTGCTGGTCAAAACAGTGGTGGGTGTAAGAAATGCAAGCGATGAAGTTAATGCAGTCTTTATAATAGAATAGAGAAAGTGAAACACCCATCTGTTTTGTTGGGGGGGGGGGGGGGGGGGGGGTTCTCAACTTTTCAAATGGCTAGCACAAAGCAGTTTTGAATTAGTTAACCATTTGTATTTAGGGGAACTCATTTGGCAGACTCATGTTGCATTGTTTATTTCCCGTGACGAAATAGTGTTGCCCAGCATCAGTTTACGAACGACTTCTGCCGTCAGCGTAACAAAAGGGAAATCTATTCTCCATGGCATTGAGAGTGCAGCAAGAGAAACCCAACTTTTGTTTTGGGGGGAGAAGGTTGTTGTCTCTAGTAACACCTCTCATCTTCAGCAAGTATATGACCTATTTGGTTTGCGAGTGCTGTGTAATTTACTTACAAAGCTTTCACCAAAATTAAAACTAAGCTATTGAAAAATGATTGCATCAAATGTTTTGATCCCTGTACATTTGTTATAGACAAATCATGTAGACTTGTTTTTATTTACGTTTGAAAAAAGTCCTCAGAATATTATTGTGTCCAGGTTGAGTAAGCCTTATCTCCAAGTGCCATAGGGAGTTTTCAAAGCCTGTCTGAGCTGCAAGTATCTAGCTGAGCTGTGATTGCTTATGCTGAGGAGCAAAGAAGATAATATTCCACTTCTACGAGTAAAAAGTAAAACACCGTAGTATAGGCTGTTATGTTTCTCCGCTTGGTTTGAAATCCTTTGACGTTGACAAATTCTGGCCTCTTGTGATGTGAACATAGATGCACTTTATTGCCATATGTTTTCTGGAAAGGGCAAGGAGAAGATGGATGCTTTCTGGAAACAAACATAAGATTTCTGTTGATCTTTGAATGAATGAATAATTCAGGAAAATTTCCTAGGGTGTTCCTTTCAATTCGAATTATGCTGAAGATATTCTGTCATCTTTATTTCATTGGTCAGATGACACGTTCTTGTGTGGTTTGTCTTAGCACATTTGTCTGTAGTTGGTCTGGCATCACATCCGTGTGTGGTTCGTCTGGCTTCACATTCGTGTGTGGTTCGTCTAAACACATTCCCACTCAGGTACTCAAGTATGCATTTTAAGATGATTGACATATTGCATTGTGATGTGTTTATTGTTTCAAATACACCCTCACTTTTTGTTACCCCTCGTATTAAGTAATGGCTTGAATTTTTTGTAATTTTGGAAAGTGATGTTTGTCTGTCCTGTATTGTTTTGCATACAGTTGCTGCTTGGTCCATTCCAGTACCTCTTTTCTTTACCTTTGGCTTTTATAGAACAATGGAACGTAACAAGGTGGGGGGGGGGGGGGGGGGGGGGGGAAAAAATTTTTACTTTTTTTACATTGAGGTGTATTCAGCAAAAATGAGAGCAAAGATTTTAAATTTATCTATGCCATGTGTATAAGTATAGGCTTTGTATGCCTCATTCAGAACTGGTTTTGCAACATTGTTGGCACCAATTCTCTCTCATCTGATTGAGCTTTTGTAGGTGTATTCAAGTTGGTTCGTTTGTTTCTAAATGAGAGACAAATACTCTCGTGTATTTGTAGTCCTTTTTTTTTTCTTAATTGCGGGGTGGTTTTTTAATCAAGCTGGTAATGTATCACCTTACTACTGATATTGAGTGTGTATGTGACTCTGTGTGTGTGTGTGTGTAGAGATGGCTGTTTTTCATATAACTGTTTACTGAATTATTATTTTTTTTAGACGAGGATGTCAGGAAGCGCTGGGTTCACAAGTCATACTCGATGTCTCTACTGCAGTATGAGATTTTAGCTACACGACATGTAGATACAAGGATTTTATACATTTAAACAACATTTGTGTCAGTCGCTCAGTGTTCATACTTAAAGAGTTTCCCTGCCATTTTTGGTGTTTTTAACTTAGTCTTCTTTGGCAAAGTACTGTAAACTTTGTGGTCCAGTCAGCAGAGAGGAGTTTTTTTCTTTTCAATTTGGGGATTGTCAAGAGCATATATAGCACAATTTTGTAATCGTGTTTTTATTTTTGGTATTATTATTGTGAGTATTATGATGATGATGATGATTATTATTACTATTTTTTCATCTTATTATTGCAGTGAAATAAGTTCTTTTGTTTTGTATTCACTGACAAGAGTCCATGTAACCAAGATGGGAATGATTATGAGTGAAATATTGTAGTGTTTGTTGTGATTGTCGCCAAATTTTTCCTGCTATAAACTGTACTATTGTTAATTCTTTTTGGGCAAAAGTAAGGTTTTGAACTGTTTTGAACTCCCAGTTGTCCAAGCCATCAAGTAGGGGAAGGATTGCGGAGGGGAAATTCTGTAGCTTTCCCTGGATTGTGGGTTTATCTATGCGGGTATGTCCTATCTGGAGCAGCGGAAGTGCAACTGCTTGTGTTGAGTGATTGTGGGAAAAGTGTTGGCTCGAGTCAGCTGTCGACTGAGGCCATCTCGACTTCAGCTGGTTGACTTATTATGGGTCCCAGGTAACTCTATGTCAATAATCTAGTCTTACGTGATATGTGTAGTTAGGGCCTCACAGTGTTGACCGCACACAGCTCAAAAGTGTATGGAAGCATAATGATATGGTAATGAGCCAGTGGCTAGCATTTGTCTGTCAGGTATTGTGTAGGGTGTTTGGGTTTTTTTTAATGTTCCCATGACTTTGTCAATGACCCGGGAGATCTAGTAGGTTATGGAGTGTGTGCTCTTCTGATGTAGCATTTATATATGTAGTACCTAAAAGTGGAATGACTCATTGTTTATTTTAAGCTTTATATTATTTATGCAGCTTTATGTTATTTATAGAAGTTCAGAGGGTATTGTTGCATAATGAATGACTGGACTGGTTCTGTGATTCAGCCAAAGTGATGTGCTTTCTGGCATTGATGATTGGAGTGAGCGACATGTAAGATATAACATGTGGGGGAGGGGGGCAGTTTTTATTTTAAGTGTTGCTCACGGAATTGGTGACAGATGAGGTTCAAATGACTATGGGGTCATCTCTTTCAAACTCTTTCTCAGATCAACTATTGTGTGAAGAGTTGTGTAAGAACATGCTGGATAAATCAGTGCTCCATTCGGGGCTGTCTGCGAAACGGAAAACCTATGATTGGTGAACATTTCTGTTCTGTCTTCACATGACACCTGCTCAAACTGATTTTTTTTTTAATTTTCTTTTCGTGTAATTACTACCTTCTTTTTTGTTGAGATTGAGTTTTGGCAGGTGTTTGTTCTATGCGTGGTGCACTTCATCAGGAATGATAATTTCTAGGTTGGTGTGGATTTGATTGAGTTTTTCTGTTTGTAGGTGATGTAAAAGTTTTTTCGTGTGAAAGCTTTGTGCCAAATCTGAAATGTAAGCTGACACTTGGTGTTATTGGAACATGGAGGCGTGCAGTCTGAGGTGGGCGGGGTTTATCTATAGGCATTCATTCAATTATTTATGAATCACCTTAATGCTTTCTCTAACACAGTGTGATCTTTCTTTAAGAAAAACTTTTGATTTGATTTAATTTTACTAACAGTACGGTTTGGGAATTATATCTAGTGTAAGTGGCTTTTTTTTCTTTCTTTTTTTCCCCATATTTGAT